GTTATCAGATCAAATTTGCCTGCCATGTTTGTGCCAAAATATCAAAAAGTTGCTTGCATTATTGACTGCACAGAAATTTTCATTGAACAACCAAAGTCTGTTGATAGCCAAGCATCTACATGGTCAGAGTATAAAAAGCATAATACTTTGAAATTTTTGATTGCTTTTGCTATCTCAGACTGTTATGGTGGAAGGACAACCGACAAACATATATGCCAAGACAGTTCTTTTTATAAGCAGCTGGAGTATGGGGATGAAGTTATGGCACACCGTGGTTTCCAGATAAGGGAGGATCTCCTTCATTATTATTGCAAGTTGAGTGTCCCACCTGGGGCACGAGTCAAGTCCCAGATGACAAAAGAGGAATGCATGAAAACAAAGGAAGTGGCTAATCTGAGGATTCATGTTGAGAGAGCCATCAATAGAATTAAAGAATTTAAGATCTTGAAAAACATTCTCCCTATAAATATGCTTCCTCTTGCAGATGATATTGTGAGGACTTGTGCCTCACTTTGTAACCTTCAGCCACCACTGATTAAAGAGAAGTTGTAATAAAAACAATCATGACAAAGTAGTTTTCATTGTTACAAAAGTAATTTTCATTAGTAATTTTCAAAAGTAATAAAGAAAGTAATTTTCATTGTTACAATATGTATCTACATATATATGTATATGAACTAACCTATATATCAACATATATTCAACAGCTTGATACTATACTATATACTATACTATATACTGTTCTATATACTATACTATATACTATAATATATACTATACTATATATTATACTATATACTATACCATACTATAGGAAGCAGTTGAGTACATGTTGATATAAGGAGTAAAAAATTTACAGTTTTGTATACACTATAGCAAATATAATACATGTGTAAAATAATAACGTTGAGTAACATTCTTGAAGACTTATATATATAGGTCTTCAAGAAAAACACTCTCATGTAAACATTTTGACTGAAGTCTCCATCAGTAATACTTTATAAATAGAATCAAAGAAAACAATTTTGTAAGACTTCAAGTATTATACTTAACAACAGAATTGAATTTATAAGCCAATGTAGACATAAAAAATATTGATTATCAATCTTTGAGTAGCTTTTACAATTTATTTTAGTCATGCACAATCGACTTTATTTGGTTAAGTGTTCTATATTTGTTTCTACCCTTATATCTTGCTTGATGTTAGTGTGTGTTGTTCTATACACCTGATGATTGTTTGCACATAAAACTTGAGAGTTGTGTTATAAGAGTTTGTTTATTTGAGTCTAACTGGTTGAGCACTTTAGACAGCCATATGAAAATTATGATATGATATAAATATACATTAAGTATATCTATATTTATAGTGTAATAATATATTGACATATTTCATATTCTATCTTTAAACAAGTTAGGAATATAATGATTTAAGTAAAAACTTTCAAAGTCTTCTTTTATCTGCACCCAAAAATCATTGTTAAATGCAAGTTTCTGTCTAAAATGGCCATACCATGTCCACACAAAGAAATGACAACTCTTTGTCTTTGTTGCAGCCATTTGAATTTGGCATTGTGTGTAGTATCTGTGGGCTTCATTTATTAGCAGACTATCATCAACTTGTTTCAAATATGGCAGTTTTACCTTGGGATCATAAGGTGTGGTGTGACGGATTGAAAAAGGGCATTTCACCTCTATACATGCCCTCCCACAGCAATCACATGAAACAATAGAGTCAGGGCTCCCACCAACAAATGGCATGTCTTCACATAAGAACAACCCACATGATGTTGTTTTTACATTCTTATGGTGCTTTTCAAACTCTTCCTTAAAGGATTCTATTGCAACTGGTTCCATTGCTCGTCCATACTTTAGAGATGGCAGTTGGTCAACCATATCTGTGGCCCCAGCAATTTTGGAATATATATTCTTCAATGAGTCTCTCTTAGAATCCCCCTTTCTCAAAGTGGCCATACAAGTTTTGACATCATGTCCCTTAGATCCAGTGATAACATGCTTTCTAAAGGAATGCCAATGTTGGTTATTTGCCTGTCCTCTGGTTAACATCTCTATTGTGCTTATGTCTTCCATTTTAGCCTCTTTTATATGGTTCAGGAAATCAACTCTATTGGCAGATCGCAAAAAATGTTCTTCGAATGGAATAACCTTTGCATTTTGCACCTCTGTTGCTGGTAATTCTTTCTTTGGCAGTGCTGTAAACAAAATACATTCAGACCTTTTACAGACTGTCTCAAGGGATTTTGCCATGTCCTGCAGGTTAAGCTTATACTCAACATGCTCCAAAGGGTCAAAATTCTTCTTGGGGGAGCAGTTCAATTCAACTTTCTTTTTAACTATTCCTCCTAAAGTGGTCCTCTTTAACTTTAAATCCTTTATCTTTACTGGCTTCACAACTTTGTTGTTGGGTAACCATTGGCAGGGCCTTGAAGTGCAAGAAGGATTGTTAAGTCCCATTCTGCTCACAGTCTCAATCCTAAAAAGAGCTGCTACAACATGATGCATGTCTGAGACAGTCCAGCCATGCATGAGCAGTGTGTTGAGACAATGTTTCCATTACATTTCCCTAAACAGATCCATAGTTTATGTGGGGTATCATTGATTCGCTGTGATGGTCTGCAATTTCCCTTGAGAAAACAGAACTCACTATCATCAGCAATGGGATGAAAAAGTAATGGTGATAGCCAACCCTGCGAATAGTAACTGTAGCCCTTTGACTGTTTATAATCAGAGAGATCATTACTGGAGAGTTCATTTGGATGAAATGACAGAAAGTTATAAATATCCGTATAGAGAGTAACAGGCCAAAACACCGTTCCGTCCTCTTCATTCAGCCAGCCATTTGCAATGCCAAAAGGATCAGGCAATGTCGTACGTCCGACATCAAGCTTCTTCTTGTAATCTGTCACAATCTCACGCTCAACCTCTTCAGCCGTCTTTATCACAGAACGTCGTTTTTGATAGCAACAAATACTCTCGCAACTAATTCCTCTTTTCTACTAGTTGTCTTTAGTCCTCGAAGTCGTAAGAAACTTTTCAACTTGTCAACTTTCATCCCAGACAATTTCGCTAAGTCGGCATCCATCGTTTGACATAGGCCCAAAATTGTGTATAATAGTTTGCGCTCAATACTGTGGTGTGTGAGCTAAGTACTAATAAAAGCTTTGAAGAAAGCTGTTCCGAAGTTCAAAAACCACAATAAGATGAATAAATTCGAGAGAAAATGTAACAATCAGTGACTTTATTGCACAGTTTTAGCAGTACGTGAACAGATTTCATACAATTCCTTGTTGCGACTGCCGAGGAAAGAATTTTTTACACCCAAAATCTCGTCCCAGTCTCCCGATCGATCCTACCAGCGCGGTTAGCCGAAGTGGTGTATTGTTCGCAGATCTTATTCTCCTACAGAATATGGACTGCGACGTAGGCTATATCAGTTCAGAACTTCGAATAAGGTTTGAATCTACTCTACAACATATCATGTTAGTTGTCTGGCATTATTTTATCTCCTCCCTGTATTAATATTATTTTTGTTTCATAGGTCCATATTTCATATAGCTGTAAATCTTTGTTTGTGATTGTGGCATTTTAATGGAAACAAAAATCCACCATGTGATGATTGTTGGAGAAGACTTGCTCAGTTCAGTTTTATATTTAACTTACCTAATGATACATAAGTAAATTTGTATTGATAAGTATAAGAAATTGGATGGAGCTTTATAATGTTGCTTGACTAATTACTTTATAATGGCAAGTCAATTTGTGTCCAGCAGCAGGTTGGTGGTATCCTTTTGTCAACCTGTAAACTCATTTACCACATCAAACTTCATCCAAAATTGTGGGAATCAGTATTTTTGCATGGTATTGAGAGTGATGTTTCTGCAAGTATGCTTCTGGAACAGTTGGAGCCAAATTATAATGAAAGGCAATTGAAAAGGAACATTGAGACTGATGCTTTCTTTCATTTCTGTAAATTTGCCCATTCACTGCAATGTGGTGGTAAGCTTGAGTCTGTATGTTTTGATAAGAGCTTTAAGTAGACAGTGGCGAAGCTGGACTCCCATGGATGGTCGTGCCCATTGGCCTCTGCGCAAAAGAAATGAGCCTCCGCAATATTATCAAAAAAAATATTTCAGTGATCTAAGGAGCTCATATAGCAATTGCATGGCACTGCATTACTTTTCTGACAAGATAGAAACAAACCAAAATTAAAAGTATAAAAGCTGCTTTTGTGTCTCCCCTGCCTCTAGCTGATACTCAAAATTCATTTTCTTCCCAAAGTGTGATGGAGGTTCCTGGAAACTTTTTTTTATTTTTGGTATTATTGACCCAAATATCAGTTCACAGGATAATAAAGCTTGAACAACAAACTTTTTCTAAAATTTTATCAAATTATTGCAACTATGGGACCAAAATATACACCTGTGGACTCAGATTTCAAATGTATAATGATTGCAAGCACTAATTGTTTTGCACACATAAAATTTAGAATTTCATTCAAAAAATAGACAAAAGTTTGGCTTTAAAGGCAAACTTGACTGTGAAGTGCAAGACATGTATCAAGAATTAGATGACAAATGAAACAGAAACATTAGAATATCTGCTGAAGACAGTAGTGTCATGCAGCATTATTGATCTGACCACAGTTAAAAAGCACTAAATAGTGAGTGGCAGAATGAAGGCAATCTTTCTTTAAAATCCTTGAGACCTGTTTTTTCATCAGGTTTGTTGCATAAAGATTTATAGGTAGCCACTTTGTTAAGCTGAACCAAACCACTCAAAGATATTCACCAATCAATTAGATACTTAATTTAAGGTTATGCCTTATGAGATAATGATAAACTACAC